ACACACACACACACACACACACACACACACACACTCACACACACACACACACACACACACACACACACACACACACACACACACACACATATATATACAACATCTCGTCTAAATATATATTAATATCTCGACACACCTTTGTCTTCCCTATGCTCATCGGATATCTTAAGTAGTCCCCACCCAATTTCCTCTACACGATCGGCAAACAAACCAGTTGCCGCCAATTCAAAACCCTCTGGGCAACTCCATGTAGTCTTCTCAAGCTCTCTCTCGTACAGAGTCTGAGCCTTGTTCATAGCATCCACACGTTGAGAAGGGTGTGAGGCATTCTCGCTGATATTATTGTATGAAGCAGTGATATTCAGCACCTTCTTCTCGAAATGAACACGCGTGCTATCTTTAGGATCGACACAAAGAGCGCCGGAAATCACCTCAGTTGCGGCTGCACTAACATCTTTTGACTGGTTATCATTTGTTAGCAAATCCTTCAAGTCGAGGTTTAGTTTGGTTTCAGATGTTCCTAATCGAACACTGGATGCTACCACTAGGTTCGCACACACCGCCAGGGAGAATACTTTAGTCAGTGTTCTGGCCATGGTACACACTGGTAACATAGTGCCGAAGACTAAGTCTGTATTCACACAGCAAGTTGTAGACCTGGTTTAATACAACTACTTCGAGAGGCGGTATCTAGCTAATGAATGTGAAGTGACTACGTTGTTCTCAGAGTATTTGAGCGATAGTTATAACTGACTGACAAGTGACAGGTCATGTCACAGCCACAACTGTCAACAACTAAATTTCTCGAAGACCGGAGACGATAAGAAGTTCTTGTTGGGTTTAAGGTTTGCTGACATCCTTCAAAATTTATACCAAATACAGTAGTGTCGTGCATGTATAAATAACAATATATAAATATCATGGAATAGTGCCTTCGTTTGCTTCTTATATGTATGTAGCTACACATCCACCTACAAAATCTAATTAAGTAGGGCTCGAAAAACGTCCTGTTTTCATGAGGTGCACTACATCACAGGCAGTAAGAAGTCTCACACACTTGGCTCAGGTGAAGTATTCAAGACACAGCTGTATCACAACAGTGGCTATCAGTCAATACCACCACACGAGTGCATTGAATGCAAACCCTGTACTAAGGTCTCCTAGAAGTTGCTATACATCAGAGTCAATACATGCACGGGCCACAAACAAAGACAAAGACTCCATCGCTTCTATAACTCAGAATCATCCGACAAAGCCCAACGACAACATCAACAGCACAAACGCAACCAACACTGACTACACAGACAGCATGGTAAAGTATTTGACCCAGGAGGAGGCTAAGAGTGTGGACGAACATTTAATGGGTGACAAGTATGCGTTCTCTATAGATCAGTTGATGGAGTTGGCTGGTCTCAGTGTTGCATGTGCTGTGGCAGAACAATATCCACCTGCGCTGTTGAATGATAAGAGGGTGCTGATACTGTGCGGTCCGGGTACGTATATACGTTGCTTGTGTTCGCGCATCTTGGTTTATATGTATATGTTGGTACAGATAATAACTTGGCATATCTCATGCGAGTATGAATGAGTATTCGTAAATATCAAGTGCGATTCGCCATTAGACATATCGGTAGAATTGGCTGGACTGAGTGTGGCATGCTAGGTGGCATGATAGTAGTCTCCTAAAAGTATAGAAGGATAATGTGTGTTGGCTTCTTGTGGACCAGGTATATGTGCTACGCACGTGTAGAGCTCTACTATCGTACGGAATATTATACAGGTCTCCCTGCACATGGAAATGTTTCTGTTTGTTTGTAATTAGTATGTGCCCGATATGCAACGCTTCAGTATTTGTTGCTGATCGATCTACGGTTATTGTTCTTCTCTCTCGTCTACAACCGATAGAATCACAATCGTAGGTCACTCACAATGATTGTCTGGATACCTGTCAGCTGCAGCATGATTTATAGCGGCTACTGTTGTATCGACAAGTGTCAGTGTTACACGAACAAGACTGCCGTCAAATGCAAGTTCGTGTAACATATTTTCACTCGATGGTATGATCAGTATTAGAGGAGTCGTACCCAATGTTGGGGGTGTGGTGTATATTTTGTCAAAAATGGATCGATAAAACTATCTATATCACATGGAAGGTATCCACTTATTGGTTGTTATTAAGCGCAATGTTATGATTAGAACGTCTATGCAGCCAGTGGAATGCTGTCAGTGCGGCATTCCAACTTTTCTATCAAATTGAACAAGTGGGTGTGATGATATCTTTGGTGCATTCTGGCCAGAGGCTGCTTACGTACGTCCATCTTAAGTATGTACCATGCTTATAAAGGTCCGCTGTCATATTCCTTATCAACTCAACCATACGCCCATCTTAAGTATGTACCATGCTTATAAAGGTTCGTTGTCATATTCCTTATTAACCTTACGTCCATCTTAAGTATGTACCATGCTTATAAAGGTTCGTTGTCATATTCCTTATCAACCATACGTCCATCTTAAGTATGTACCATGCTTATAAAGGTTCGTTGTCATATTCCTTATCAACCATACGTCCATCTTAAGTATGTACCATGCTTATAAAGGTTCGTTGTCATATTCCTTATCAACCACAGGGAACAACGGGGGCGATGGTCTGGTAGCCGCTAGGCATCTCAAGCTATTTGGCTACTCAGTCGATGTGTACTATCCCAAGCAGAAGGATGTCAAGCTGTACAAGGTGTGTAGACTAAGTTGTACCCAATACGCTTTCACCGTAGCTGTGCATATTCTGCGTTGCAAAACGGTAACTAGAATTGCATTTAATAGTCAGCTATACAATGTGTGTAGACTAAGCTGTACCCAATACACTTTCACCGTAGCCATGCATATTCTGCGTTGCAAAACGGTGACTAGAATTGCATTGAACGGTCAGATTTGAAAGGCGTTTTAAGTTACATCCTAATGAATGGTCAGATTTGAGTGGCGTTTTAGGTTATGTAGGTTGTAGTTGTCACAGACCATCTCACACTCTCGGAGCGATAGACAAGTGTCCAAGTGCCGAAGGAGGGAGCTGTACACCAACATAAACAACACCATAGATGAATATACAAACAATACCATAGATGAAAACATAAGCAGCACCATAGATGAATACAGTCGCCTATCGCCTCATAAATAGAGACTATTGATATTGAGTGTAAGCGAGACCGGTACCACGCACTTTCCTGGCTGCTGACTTTGTTTTCGCCACCGTTTGCGATGTATGTGTCTTGGCTAGAGGCACACCTGATTCATAGTGATCCATTGTCACACAGTGTATGTCTTCACGCTGCAGTTGAACCAGGACACCCGGTATTGCCTATTGCCCGAGTGGGGTGTAGCTCTATAAAGGGCTCGATTTTAACATATAAAGATTTCTATCGTATCGCGGGGATTTAGTAATCTTTGTGTGTATATAAGTTTTAGTATTAAGGATACTCCAAACAACACTACAAGCAACTTCACAGCGGATGAACATCGTTGTAGTACAACACCTCTGTTTACGTCCTGTGCTATGACTTTCTTCACCCAACCCCCCAGAGTTTGACGACGCAATGCGTTAACATGGAGGTTGATATACACACAGACCTCCCACAGCTGGATGGTGACAAGTACGGCCTGCTCATCGATGCCATGTGTATGTAGCTCTGTCAGTGCAGGTTATAGGCATATAGGTATTAATAGTCTGAGAAGCAGTGCGTAGAGTTTGACCTGTTGGGTTTGGCAGTTGTTGTATCGTACTGTGATTTTCTGCAGTGCGTATCTATTCAAGTTCTGGCTACCTGTATGTATGGGCACCATCTGGGTTGAGCGTTCATCACTTGCACTTCTGTATGTCTGGGGCAAGTACGCACTTGGTGAGTGAACCCTTCACTATCATATGCTCTGAGAAGTGCATAAATTCTGTTCTTAGTAAGTTGTACCTTGCAAATCTAGTCGACTTCGCTATCAATTATATTGAAATGTATCACAGACCTATCACATAAGTACTCTCACCTCTATTTGAATATATCCTGGAGCGTTGGCTTGCGTATTTACTATACATCAGAGCGTAGAGACAGCATTAGCTGACGTGTAGTGCATCTCATCACCCTCAGCTGATACACTTAGCTGTTAATTCTGCACTGCACAACAACACACGAAGTCTCAGATTCTCTTCAGCACAGAGCGTTTAGGCAGCATGGGCGGATGTGTAGTGGATCACATCAACCTCAGCTGATACACTTAGCTGTTAATTTTACACTGCAGAATAACGCACGCAGTCTCAGATTCTCTACAGCACAGAGCGTTGAGGCAGCATGGGCTGATGTGTAGTGGATCACATCAACCTCAGAGGATATACATAGCTGTCAATGCTGCATTGTACAATAGTGCACCAAGTTTTCGTATGAAACACTATTGCTGTGTACTTATTCTATCTGTCATCTTGATTGCCGAACGGTTCTTAGTCGGGTTTAGCTTCCACGGGGAGCCTCGGGAGCCGTTTAAGACGGCCATCGCGCGCATGAATGAATGCGATATAGATACCTGCTCGGTGGACTTACCCTCAGGTTTGTGATCATTTCTGTGGGCACTGATCACACAGACGTAAGTTTCTAAGGGGATGTATTCTCGATTTGGTGATTCTTTTTGCATGCCAGACCTTACCGGACGTAAGTATTTGCCCAGACAGTGCACTCTATTGTTTGCGACTGTTTCTGTACTGACAATTGTGCGGATGTCGATACTAGCTCGTGGATGTATACTGAGGACTACTATCATCGCCTGGTATGATGACTGTGGGCCTCGTGCACTCGCATAACAATCATTTTATCACTGAATTGAGAGAAATCTCTTGGTTTTCGTACCACGGTTCATTTTAGTGGGGCTTTGACCTTATCTTTCTCTATCTGATCAGGTGTTACTATTGGAGAAAATTCAAATATGAGATAGAGAACAAATCCTGCTCTTCGGCAGCACACATTCCCGTTGCGTATTCACCGATAGACGTTTAGGGATTAGGGTTTTAGGGTTTAGTTGTATACGTTTGTACATGTTTTTCATATTCTCGTAGCCGTTTCCCACGACTATCTGTATATATTGTACCTATAGAAAATGAGCGATGCAACCGCCACCTTTCTCGGCACCTTTCGTCTGCATATGCCTCAAAATGCCCACTACTGTCCCATGCCTTGTCCTATTTGTACTCCACACTATATCCATCCTATCCTCTGTTTGGGTTGCCAGGTATCACAGTACAACCTACTTATGTGCGTATTTGCCCTTATTTTCTGATCATTTCACTTTCATGCACTCTGCACAAAAACAGGGTGGGATGTGGAGAAAGGGCCGCCTACCGATGGTCTGAAGCCCGCCATGCTGGTATCCCTAACCGCACCGAAACTCTGTGCAAAGACCTTCACCGGACACCACTACCTGGGCGGGAGGTATGATAAGATCAGTTGAGGTTGTCGAATATCCCTGTTATGTAGCAATGTACGTATGTACACGGGGTGTGTTGGTAGGTGGATATATAACTGACCACACAGCAAGCCAGCATTCGATAGAGAGGAAACCATGTATTGCGTGTTGGTGTGTGTATAGGTGAGATGTGGATGAGCTCATACACCCGTCTCAGGTTCTTATCGAGTACTGGCCAATGTGTATTGTGATTGATTCTCGCTCATTTCGAGTATGTGTATAACCAATGACTTTCTGTCGTATACGGTTTCTTTACTTACTGAGGGCCGTACGTACCTCAGTGCCCCCAACCAATCAAATATAATAACTGAGAGCGTACTGCTACCGTAGTCAATAGACGCGAGGGTGTCTCAACGTCAAGGTATTCGTTCTTGCAGGTTCGTCCCGCCTGAACTCGAGCGAGTTTTGGGACTCAATCTGCCATCTTACGCTACTTCTCAAATGTTCGTCAAGCTCTGAGATCGAGGTGACCGTATCAGTATGGGGTGTTGGGAAGGATACTCGGTCAATCACAATCAATGTGTAGCGCCGAGGCCAGCAAGGCGCAGGTGCAGGCAAAGTACGGTACAGTTAATTTGGCGCTTTCCTTGAATTGTGATATTGGGTTTGATGATCGCGACAAAAATATGGCAGCTCAAAAAAGGATACCACTTGTAGTATCTTCCATACCCTGACATTTGCGTTCCTATTGTAACATATGAAGAGTCGGAGTGTAGCAGAGGAGAAACTTCCTCTACTACTGAGATTGGTGACTATACATCATCGCGTTGACATTTGGCACACCAGCTGATGAGCAGTCCACAACAATGCGCTGCAAGCTCTTAAATGGGACCCACGCAACCGATACACACACACACACACACACACACACACACACACACACACACACACACACTACACACACGTACGTACGTACTACGTACGTACGTACGTACGTACGTACGTACGTACGTACG